AAGGAAGGTTCTCAATTCCTCTAGCAGCAACGGGTTTCCAAACAGACTCGTTTGGAAACTGGTCAGACACCATCCAGCTGTCTGACCCTTGGCAAGTTACCTCACCTCCCTATGTGTCATTTTCCCCATCTGTAAAATGGGTCTCACTACTTTACACCTCACAGGGTTGCTGTGAAGGTTAAGTGAGGGAAAATGTCTCTAAAGCACTTAGCACAGTGCGAGGTACCACAAGCTCTCAAAATATCAACTGGTAGTAAATAATGGCAGCAGCAGAAATATGACTCTGTCCAGGATCAAACTCAGTTTGATGAGCTAAGCTTCAATGAGCTGTCATCCAACTTGAAAATCACCTGAAACAATCGAATCCTCTATGGAAGAGTTACTCATGCCTAGTAACTACTTCCGCCTTCTCTTTCACCAGGCTGGAAGCTCCCTGGGTCTTACTCATTTCTATGTCTCAGCGTTTAACATGGTGAGTAGCATATGGGCAGATGGTAATAGATCTTCGTTGAACTGAACAGAATTAGTTCAATGTTTGTAAGTACATTTCATCTTTGCTACTAGATTATAAGTTCTTTAAGAGTGAGGCCCATATCTTTCTCCAGTAAAGATTTATTAAATGAGTGATGGAAAAACACCAAACCAAGAATCAGGTTTCTAAGATCAAGCTCAGTCATTCAACAGCTGTGCAACCTCGACAAAGTCACTTAACACTTCTGCTCCTTATTGGTCCCGCCTCGAAGATGAGAAGTTTGAACTACATGTTTGCCATGGTCCCTTACATTCTAAAACTGGATTTGGGCCTTAGCTGCAACATGGCACTTCTGCCACCATGCATGTGACGTCAACACACCCTCCGGTTTGGCAGGCCAGCTTGCTAATTTACCTCCCTGATTTGCAGTTTTCCAGCAGGAAGCTATGAATAGCTTTGGGCCAGTGCTTAAAACACCCATTTTTGGTCAAAACACTTGGCTTGCTAGGTGAGGACGCCCCATCACCCAAGCTAATGCTCTAGTGGCCAGGGGCAGCAGGGCAGACTGTGGGGGAGGGGCACACACTGACCACCAGTCTTGCCACTCCCATCCCATACTCCCTGCCAGGGACCCTGCCTCCAGCTCACACCATACCACTTACTGCTCACTAGAGACAACCTGGTACAGGGAGGAAGTTGAACTTGGCCCCTTGACATAGAGGTGATCACAGGACATAAAATTGTGTGGTTTTGGTTTTGGTTTTGTTTTTATTTTTATTTTATTTTTTTTTTTTTGCAATGCTTTGTGTGGCCTGCAGGTCCAGGGGGCTTAGCTCAAGGAAAATGCATGCTGAATTATGACAGAGAGGCTTACCCGACAGGCCTGCCCAAAACTGTATCAAAACAAAAGTTGTGCAATAAACAAGGCCCAAATTCAAGACTTGAGAAATGCATTCAGATCCTATCTGAATCTGGCTAATTATCTCACCTTCCTATGGACACACCTCCCTAATTAATTTGGTATTTATTTTATTACTCTGAAAAGTTGATTATTTCTTCTATCTCTCTCTGCATGACACAATGCATTGTGTCTCTCTCATGGTCTTAAAATCTAATGAAATCCTAAAACAAGATGAGAAAAAAAAATCTGCTCAAAGGAGGAACTAAATTGATTAATGTCCCCTTTTGAGGTTTTATATAGATCACTGTATTCAGTTCTCACAAGTCCATGAAGTTGGTACTCTTAGTAGCTCGTTTTACCGATGAAGAAGCTGAGGTTTCAAAAAGTCGCATAGCTTGCCAAAAGACACAAAGCTAGTAGGAGATAGATCAAGGATTTGAATGTAAGCCAGGGCTCTTAGCCTTTCTGCAAGAGTGCCTCATTTTTGAGCTTGTTCATCTCTGGAACAAGCCACTCTGAGTCCTGGTCTTACGGACATGCTTTAGCAGAGGCCGCAAGACTGCAGGAGGATGCCTGGATGGCGCACACGGTCGCACCAGCTGACTCCAAGCATCTCATTCTGCACTTTTCTTCAGAACTGCCTTTAGCGGCACATAGAAAATGATGCTGTGTTGTGTTGTGTTGTGTTTTATTCGGAAGGTCCTTCCAGGTATGCAATTAAAAACCACCACATCCTCATTTTTTTGAAACTTCTCTCCTCTCTGAAAAGAGCCCCTGCTTTCAACAGGGATGTTGATTTCACAGCATTCCATAGAGCCCCGTACCCGGCACCTGTCTTGGGCCACTCACATTAGTAAAATACGTTAGAACCACTGCTCCTCTTGAGAGAGGCTGTAAAAGGCACTGGTGCAAATGAAAATAAAGCATCACTTCAAAATTCTACCCAAAGATCAAAAGGCTAAATTAAGAGAGCGCCCTTTCAGTTCTCCTCAACTGCACCTTCAAAGCAAGTTATGAATGTTTAGCACATCATCGGTACCAGAAGAAAACTCCAAGTTCATATTTTAGATGAAAATTTCTTGCTGCTCTTAACAGGTTCTGAGTCACCAGGCACTGTATGGGCAAGAACAACTCGTTGACCAATTTTTTGTGTGTTTGGTGTTATTTTCTGTTCAGCCAGTCACAGGAAATTCTCCACTTGACAATTCCTGTTTCTCACTTAAGTTCTTAACACCATCCGTGAGCAGTGTGCCAGGCAAGGGGAGAACAGGGGGGCCAAGGGGACTTCCCTTCCCCAAACCTCAGTTTTCCCATCTATTTTATGCAAGGTTTTCACCCAGGGATCTGGCTAACATTCTACAAGCTTAGCTATCAAGGAGAAAGCAGCCCCGTGAATAAATGAAGCATTTTAGAGACTGCCAGTTTCTGGGAGTGGGTCTGCTGCCAGATTTAAAATCTGTACATAATTTTGGGGTAAAACTAGAGATTTAGCTGAAATTAACAGCACAATGGGAAACTGAACTAGGGCTGAACAATAACACAGCGGGACTTCAGACTTGTGGCTGGTAAAGAAGCCTCTCTCGTTCTCAGGGCGCCCCCTCGTGGCCTCTTGACTAAATCCTGACGGAATGTTCAGTTTCTGCAAATAAGAGAAAGACATCCCCCAAAGAGAAAGGCGGACTGCTGCCTACTGATGCAAATGCCTTTCACTCTAACCTAGTCTGTGGATCAGGCAGTTCGAAGAACGCCTGACAGGAAGTCCCACTGATGCTCAGAAAGGCGTCTGCCATAAGACAAGGGTTCGTTCTTTAGAAGGGTCTGAGGCAGTGCCCCAGCATTTAGACTTTGGGGTCCCTTCACAGACCCCAGGCACACCCTTACCACTTCAACAACCCCTCATAGTCTCACATTCTCAACCTGCAACTCGAACTGGGTCTGTTTTTCATTATTCTGCTTCCCACCTTCCCAGTGCGATTCTTCAGCAGCTATTAAGACAACATGAGCAGGGAGCTAAGCTTAGTTTTTGCTTATTCAACATCCAGCCTGGGGAATATCACCTCAGAAGAAAAGCATGAATGAAGCGCACATGTCCCAGCCTCTTCTTCCACAAACCTGAAAATGCCTTCATCAGAGGCCACCCCTACAACCCTCCCCTGTAACAATTTCATCCTACAAAAATGGCACCTGCCCAGAGTGAATTCTCAACTACTTGCTTGCTGTAGAATTTATTACAGAGCCAGCTTTAAAAAGAAATGTACATCTCAAATTTCCAATTAATTGATAACAGATTTTTTAAAAATAACGTTATGGGATGAAGTTATATAGACTCAAACACCGAATCTGAGAAATGGGTTGGGAGGGCATTATCCAGGTATCCAGATATTTGAGAATCTGGGGACTGAACTTTGCTGACTGGCACCCCCATTTTTTTCACAGAACTGTCCCTGCCCAAATGCAAAAGAAACATGTCAATATTAAGCTGCTATTTGACAGCTCATTTTTCTTTTTTCCTGCAGTCATGTGTTGTTTATAAGCAACCCTGAGCCCCCAAAACACTCCCAAAAGTGCACACAAGGAGTCCCATAACTAGTTTCTGACTTTGGCCCTAAATCGATTAAAATACATCTGATCTGTTTCAAATCAAAGAACCATGTTAATTTTCTGCCACACACCACACAAAATCTTTCTGCAACAGTCAGTCACTTTGAACCCAACTCTCTAGCCACAAGCAGTGTGGATTTCAAGGGCCTGTTCTGCAGAAGTGAAAATAACAACAAACCAAGGCTGGGACAAGGCAGACAGACCCTAAGGCACTCAAAGCACTTCTTGGAGCTGTGCAAATGGTGCCAGGACCCTGGCAGGGTGTCAGCTGTCACAAGAGCAGCAGGGCCAGACCCCTTCAGCAGTTTGGTAGCCCTGCAACCAGGAGCTGAAACGCAATTGAGCCTGCTGCAACTAAGCACAGCTATCTATGTAGCTACCCATGCCCTGGACATTTCACTCCTCCCAAAGCCACGATGCAAACTGTTAGAATCCTCAGACTTGCAGTAGTCTTTATTTTTGCTCCCTAACCTTGTCTCAAAAACAGGCAGGAGTCGCCCTCCCTTGCAGCCACAGCATCATCAGGGCAATGCAGAGTCTGAGTGGGAGGATGCAGAGCAAGGGGCTGCGGACAGATGGGTGCAATGGGGTAGGGACACCCACAAAACACGGGACCTGAGGGGCTAGCTCCTAGCTGGGAATGTGGTTATTTGGAGAGTTGTGGAAATAAGGCATTTCGGGGCATGGTCTGAATGTGTGCCTGCGAGGGAGACCCCGGCCGTCCCAACGCTGCAAAGTGTTTGCAAATCTAAAACATTCCTTTGCTGCTGGGATTAAATTTTTTAAAACAAACCAAAAAATAAAATAAAATGTGTGCAGACAGGATGTAACAAGTGTTTCAGGACAGACACACGCCTGAGTCACGGGGTGCTGGGGAAAGAGTGAGGAGTCTGTCTCGGGGCTTCCCAATGAGCCCCCTCTCTGTCAAGAGAGCCCTAGGGCGCACAGATCCCCGCCTCGCACGCCATCGGTCCCCAGCCGCGTCCAGCCAGCTTCCCCCGCACCCTCCAGGATTGACCCACTCACCACTCGGCCCGAAAACCTCTCGGTGGCCCTTTTGACTTTGCCGTAGGTGCCTTTGCCCAGGGTCTCCTGCAGCTCGTAGCGGTGCTTCAAGTTGTGCTTGTGGTGATGCCGCTTCACCCCGTGAGGCTTCCTGGGCTCCGGGGCGGCCGCCGCCGCGGGGGCTGCAGTCGCCCCCGCCACCGCCTCTCGAGGAGAGCCCGGCGCCCCCAGCCCCAAGTCGGGGCGGTCCCCAGCCACGGGCGCGGCGGCCCCTTCCATGTCCAAGCGCGGGGCGAGCCGGGCTGCAGAGGGCAACACCGGGCACAGCGCTGGGTTGTCGTGGTCCCCACTAAGGGAAGCCGCGGTACGCTCAAGGTCGCCCCCGCAGCATCAGGGAGGCGGCCCGATCCCGCTCGGGCTGCGGCTCGGTCACTGGCGGCGGCGGGGACTGCACATCTGGCGCCCGCGGCGCGCACGGTCCGCGCACCGCCCCCCGGCCGCGGCGAACTGTGGAGCTTCGGGCGAGGTGGCGGCGGTGGCAGGGGAGGCGGTGGTGTTTGCAGGAAGGAGGGGAGAGGGTGGCTCGGAGCGCAGGAGGGGGAGTGTTATGTGGGGCGCCGCGCCCCCCAACCCCTCCCCTGGAGGACGCGCAGACGGGTCGGGGGCGGGGACGGCGCTCGCGCTGCCCCGGGGGAGGGGGAGCGAGGGGCGGTGCAGCTAGGGCTTCCCCCACCTCCCTGCAGCCACCCCGGGCCGGGGCCGCCGTGAGCTGGGAGGGGGATGGGAGCGTGTAGCGACTCGCCCTTTGTGCTGCGCGGCGTAGGCCACGGCGGCTGCGGCGGCGGCCAGGGGGGCTTTGTCCTCGCTGGGCCGGAGGGGACCGGGAAATTCCAAGCTGGGCGCCCCCTCCCCGGGCGCTCTCGGGCTCGCCAGTCGCAGCTATCGCGGGCCCTCCGCCGCCTGGGGCTGTGGCTCCGGCCGCTCGGCCTGGATTCCTGCTCGCACCGGGACGGCGGTTGCGGCTGACCGAGCCCCGGGGCTAGGGAAGCTAGAGCGCCGCGAGCCGGGGGCCGCCGGGACCTGCTCGCCATCCGGCCTGGGGCGCCGCGGGTCCGGGCGCCCCTTCATTTTCTTGTAGGTGTCGCCGCGGCCTGGTGGCCGGAGCTGGGGGAGGGGGCAGGGAGGCCTGGTGTTGGGTTACAGGCGGTGACTCACGGACCTTGCCCGCCGAGGCTGGCACCCCGCGGGGCAGAGCTGCGCCCGCCTAGGGCACCTCCGAGTCCAGGAGAATCCCAAGAGCGGCGCTTTGACCCCGGCCCCCGCGCCCTCTCCGAAGAAAGGAGAGTCGGGGACGAGGGAGGCCGGGAGGCTGAACCCCGGGCCCGCCGTCGAACCGCCGGCCCTCGGACACTATCTGGACCCCGGCAGGGACAGCAGCCTGGAAGGGGAGGAAGGCCGGGGACGTGGAAGAGATGAGGTTCTAAAGGCGCCGGGATGGAGCTGGCTCCCCAGAGGCGCCCACCCTGCCAGCGGAGGCCGCCATCGGAGGTGGGCAAACCAGGGACCTGGGGTGGACCAGGAACCCCGGCCTGCTGAGCAACCCCTTTGCTGAGTAGGAGGCGACTTGAAGGCCTCTTGCCTCCTTAGGCCTTGGAAGATTTCCTTTCACTGTAAGGGCCAGCCAGATCCTGGCGATGGTGACAGGAACGGTACCCCGCACGGTAAGGGTCAGGCAGGAAGGGCCTCCCACCGCGATGTGACTGCCCCCCTTCTAAGAAGAGACCATGAAAAATAAGGAAGAAAGCTAGAGAAAAGGGGGTCTTGGGGAATTTTTTTTTTTTTTTAAACAAATGGTGCAATATACCAGACTGGGGTGGGAAGAGTGAAGGCTGAAGAATATCTGGTGTTCTGCAAATCGCATGGCGATTCTTTTCCACCAGTGGACCTCACTGGAGCCTCCTCTGCAGCTCTCAGGTCCAGCCCTTCCTCTGCATTCCCGCCGCCTTCATTCCTGTCTACCCCTCCTCACGTTACCCCGGACTCCTGCAACAGCCCGCCCTCCCCGGGAGCCTCCTCACTGCTGCCAGAGTAATGGCCTGAAACACTGCCCTCATCCTCCACACATGTGTCTCTGCTGTACTCTGACGCGTGATGTTCTTACCTGTCCAAACTTTTCTTCTACTGATGTTTGACACAAACTCCCCTGCCCCTTCTTCCCTTTCCCAGGATCCATCACAGAACACAAACACAAAGGTGCATCATGCCTATTCAATTCCTATTCTGTCCACCATCATGCCTATTCAATTCCTATTCTGCAGGGCCTCCCTGCCCCCCATCCTGAAACTGTTCTGCTTTCTATACAAAGTTTGTGGACGTTGTCCCTATAGATCCTACAGTCAGGGTGAGTGGCATGTGTTGAGTCCTGTTTTCACAGAGGATTGGCTGTGTGACCTTGGTCAAATGACTTAACCTCTCAGAGCTTGGGTTTCCTCTTAAGATACGGATTAGCAGATCTATTGTAGAGAGAAACACATTGTGTCTGCAGTAGTATTTTAAAATGTTTTCTACTTTTTCCTCTCCCCTGGGATGTGGTAGAAATCCACTACCCCATCCTCTTGAAGTTAGATGTGACCATAGGACTTGCTTAGGCCAATGGAATGAGAGCAGAAGTGATTGTGTTGCTTTCACATGGAAACTTTAGGAGCCAGTGACCAAATCCCCATGTCTTCTTTTTCCTGTCTTGACAATCATGGTGGTACAAAGTTGGAGCCTCCCCAAGCCAGCTGAGTCTCTGTGTAAAGATGGCAGAAAATCCCAGCCAATCTGCTTTGGAAAAGTAGCGTCAGCAAATATTAAACTTTATTTATGTTAAGCCAGTGGGATTTGTTAAAGCAGCGTAACCTGGCTTATTCTGGCTGATAGTGTTACTCCCAGATATGTGGGACTTCATCAGTATCTATTGAATCAACAGCATCTGCTCTACCGTAGGCTGGTACTGTTTTATGACAGTGAACCCTCCTCTGTAAAGTAGCTGTTTACAATCCCTATTTTCAATTGAAGAAACCGTATCAGAATGGTTAAGTAATTTCCCAGAGGTTACACAGTTTGTAAATGGCAGCACCAGGATTTAAACCCTACCTGTCCAGTTCCAAAGCTCCCCCTCTTCTCCTTCCATATATGCCATGCTCCATCTCCTTAAATGGGAAGGATGAAAAACACCCAGTACAATGCGTAGCACACAGTCATGCCCAGGCACTGGGAGTTCCTCTCCAGACTGAATTCCTACCACATTTATAATTGGAACCACACTTCAGCACAATGCTATCAGGCACTGTGTGTGAATGTTTTCACATCACTAAAGGATTTTCTCCAACAAGAGCCCAGGCTCCTTGATGAAGAGCTTGAGATCTAGAGGTAGAGTGACTGGGTTCAAATCCCTGTTCCACCACTTATGATCATCTTGGATAATTGCTTTCCCCCTCTATGCCTCAGTTCTCTAATCTGCAAAGTGGTGATGGTAACAATGTATGTGGTATTAGCAGTTATACCAGTAATACATCCCACAGGGTTGGTATGAAGATTAAGGGCTAGAATATATATACTCAATAAATCGTGGATATTAATATGATGCTTTTCATCTTCCATGGATCCTACTAGAATTTGTCTTTTTTTTTTTTTTTTGAGATGGAATTTCACTCTTGTCACCCAGGCTGGAGTGCAATGGCACGATCTTGGCTCACTGCAACCTCCGCCTCCCTGGTTGAAGCGATTCCCCTGCCTCAGCCTCCCAAGTAGCTGGAATTACAGGCATGTGCCATCACGCCCAGCTAATTTTTTTGTATTTTTAGTAGAGACGAGGTTTCACCATGTCGGTCAGGCTGGTCTCAAACTCCTGACCACAGGTGACCCACCCGCCTAGGCCTCCCAAAGTGCAGAGATTACAGGCATGAGCTACCGTGCCTGGCCTGGGACAATTTTAAGCAGTTTAATCATACTGCTTGGTTAGACTCTGATTTCTGGTTTTGTTCTGGATACACGACAGATGTAGTAACGGTGGCATTTGAAAGTGTGACATCCACACTCTCCTACATCTTTTATTTACATAAAGCTCATTACTGGGACTTCACGGCACTTTCTATTTTCAAAGCAGTTTAAAAGAAAGAAGGTATGTTCGCTTTCTCAAGAAGTCATTCGGGAATCCTGTCATTCAGGCAGCATAGATGAGCTTGGAGGACATTGTGTTGAGAGAAATAAGCCAGGCCCAGCAAGACAAATACCACATGTTCTCACTCATATGTGGAAGCTGAAAAAGTTAATCTCATTGAAATAGAGAGTAGAACTGTGGTTACTAGAGGTTGGGGGAGGGGATGGGGATAGCCAGAGGTTGGTTAACAAGTACAAAATTACAACTAGGTAAGACAAATAAGTGCTCATGTTTGATAGCACCGCAGGGTGACTATAATTAATAATTGGGAGGATGGGAGGATACAATAAATTAATAATTTATATTGTATATTTAAAAACATACAGTAGAATATTGTATAAATTAATAATTTATTATATATATTCAGATAGATAGAAGAGCAGATTTTGAATGTTCCCAACACAACAAAATGAAATATGTTTGCTATGCGAATAACACTGATTTGATCATTACATGTCGTATGCATGTATCGAAATATCACACTGTGCCCTGTAAATATGTACCATGATGTGTCAATTAAAAAGAAAAAGAAAAAAAAGAAACATTTGTTCAGAAAACATCGTAATAGCAGTCATTGTTTATTTGCTACCTCCTGCCTGCTAGGATCCCTACATATGCATATCGCTCTGCTGATCACCTGCAAGGTGGCTGTTACGTTGCCCATTTCGCTACTGGGAAATCGGAGTCTCAAAGAGGCTAATTTGCCTGTGATCAAATACTAACTGCATTTGGGATTTAGAGCCTCTGACTCTAAGGCTTTGCTCCAAGCCCTATCCCGAGCTCATGTCAATTAATGCCTGTGCTTTGGTTGATAACTGTTCTTCCACTTTGCTAGATGAAGTTCTGAAAAGTTACCTAAGACTGTGATGTTTCTAACTTAAAATATGTGGTCTGGTGGACAATTTACATTAAATAGCAAGCTCAATAAGCACTTAGTCTTCACTGTAGAGGAAGGAAGATAATTGCAACCAAAAATTCATGCTTTTTCATCCATAGAGCTGACAGACGGCTGCTCAGCCAGGGACACGTTGCCCAGTCTCCATACATCCAAGTGCGGCCGTGAGACTAGGTCTCTCTAATGGAACAGAAGCAAAAGTGATGTTTTTTTCTTCCAATCCAGGGTGTTTAAAAAGTGGGTGTGCCTTCTCCACATTGCCTAGCTGGAAGCAGAGGACTTGGAGGCCCTAAGTGAATGGTAAAGCCACAAGATAAAAGAAACCTGGGCCCCTACTTCACCTTGAGAAATAAAGTCACTGTCTGACCAGGACATTGGACTGCTGCATCAGTGAATAATAAACTTAACTGATTGTGTTAAGCCCCTGCAATTTGATGGTTTATATGTCATGACAGCTAGTACTACCCTAACTAATATACAGTTTACACCAAATCTGTATTTACACAGAAAAAGCAAAATGGAAGATTATAACAAGTACCTGAATAGTTGGAACCCAAAATGCCTTTTTTATTTTCTCTCTGTTTATTCAAGGAGATAGCAGATTATTTAGGATCTTGAGTTTTTCTTTTATTTTTCCTGCATTGTTTGTGTCAGAGATTAAAAAAGAGGAGCATTCAAAGTCATAAAACAGGAAGAAACAAATTTATTCATTCTACAGTATTTTCCCGTACATGCCAGGCACCTGGGTCTGAGAATGTGCTGAGACAAGACAGGTCTGATCTCATCTTCATGTGGCTTGCAGTCTACGAGTATTAAGTACAGTTGATAGCATTCAACTGACCAGCCATCACACTTTTTGGGAGAAGCCAGGCTACTTGAATGTGGACTAGACAACTACAATAAAACTAAAGCTTACAAATCCAACAGAAAGCTATGTTTCTTCCCCCTGCTAAATGGCTAGAAAAGCAATAAGAATGATGACTAAGGGCAGAGACTCCAGAATCAGAAAAACCGGAGTACAAATGCTGACTCTCCCACTTTCTAGCTGTGTTATCTTGGTCAACTTCCTCTTTGTTTCTCAGTTTTCTCAGCTTTAAGATGGGGGCATTAGTAATACCTGTCTCAAAAGGGTTTTGTTGGTGGTGGTGTTAAGGATTGGATGAGTTAATAAAAAAATTAAAGAAAGCACAAGATCAGCAAGATACGAGTAGCCGCACCCAATAAATGTAGGCTGTTTTGTTTGTTGGTTTGGTTTGGTTTGGTTTTTTTGCAACTTGCCCACTGATATTCCATTCTGTGTGTAAAAGGATATAAGAGAAGGCCTTTCCATGGGGGTTGACGAGTGATATCAGGAAACAGAAGTATAAATAGAATCAGTGGATATTTACAAGGGTCAACAGAAATAGCCCAGAAGGAGTTTTAGTTTTAATTTATCTCATGCATTTGATGGTTGAGAGGGCCGGTTGAGCCTGTTGGGAAGAGTGTCAGTTTGGGGAGCCACCTCAGTGGGTAACCGATGGAGCAGGAGATGACCAATGATACTGTCCCACACTGACATTCT